GACAAAAAACAAACAAAAGATTAATGGAGGGGAAAAATGCTGTGATCATCTCCATAGAAAGGATGATGAAATTCGACATGCACTCAAGATGAATATTCTGTGCAAGAGTAGAATGGAATGGAGCAACACTACTTGATAAAGTGTAACTACCCCAAGAAAAGTACATTAAACACCTGGATGAAGTGTTAAGTTCTTTTCCATTTGTGATCAGGCATAAGACAAGAATGTCACCATTCTGTTTCATGCTGTATTGGTAGGTCTATCTAATGCCATAAAATGAGAAAAGGGAATAAAATGTATGCTTAAAATGGTAGAAACAAAACTATTCTCAGAGATACTTGTGTATGTTGAAAACATCACTTTGTTGTTGTTTGTTGAGACAGGCTCTCACTATGTAGTTCAGGCTGGCCTTCAAGATCAAAGCAATCCTCCTGCCTCAGCCTTTCAAATACTGGGATTATAGTCATGTGCCACCACACCTGGCTCAAAGCACTTTTAGAATTATTAAAATACAAAAAAAAACCCACAAATAAATTACTGTAAACAAATTATAAGCCAGGCGGGGTGGCGCACGCCTGTAATCCCAGTACTTGGGAGGCTGAGGCAGGAGGATTATTGTGAGTTCGAGACCAGTCTAGGCTACAAAGTGAGCTCAAGGCCAGCCCGAACTGCATAGCGAGACCCTGGCTCAAAAAGATCAAAAACAAAAACAAATTATGCCAGTCTTTTTTTTTGTTTTTGTTTTTCTTCCAGTACCAGGAATCAAACTCAGGACCTTGCACTTGCCAGGCAGGCGCTGTGCCGCTGAGCTAAATCCCCAGCCCCCATGCCAGTCTTCTGTGGAGAAAACTGTAAAAGTTTATTGGGAGAATTCTGACAGTCAAATTGCCAACACAGAAATAGCCAGCATGTTTTTTCTTCATTTTCTAAGTCTATGGTGGCCCATCTCTGCCTATTTAGTAGTCTAATCTCAGCAGACATTTCCACTTGACATGTGGACCATCTCCCTGCATGCCATCTTAGGCTGTTCCCCTTCAACACTGGTTGCTTATCTCTCTGCCTACCAGGTATCCCAGCCTGAATTGCAGGTTGCTCTTCTGGAGGCTGCACATTACTGGGCTGCTGGGCAGCCACAGGATCAAGAGGGTGAGTAGGCTCATCACCTCTGTTGTCTAGATTTAGCTGTCCATCTTACTTGCTCGATATTTCACACTAGTGCACACGAAGCCCTTCACTCCTTGTAGCATCCCACCAGCCATAAAGCATAGTGGCTATGCTGCCCAGGAGGAAAGGGAGGCCAACTGTGAGGCCCTTCCTCCTCCAAAGACTTCTGCTCTGCCCAAAACCAGCTAGTTCCTCCTCACTCAGCTTTTGCTTTTTTTGTCTTTTTGAGACAGTGTCTCCCTGTGCAGTTCAGACTGGCCTTGAGCTCACTTTGTAGTCCAGGCTGGTCTCAAACTTGTACCAGTGCTCCTGCCTCAGCCTCCTGAGTGCTGGGATTATAGACGTGCTACCACACTGGCCTCTGGCCTTGAACTCTTGATCCTCCTGCCGCAGTTTAAAATTTAAATGGCTAGAAAGAACCATTTCTAAATCTAGGGATTAGCCAAATGTGGTGGTACACACCCATAGGGCCAGCACTGGGCTGAGGTAGGAAGACCATATTTACACTTCACATTTTTTAGCTGGGCGTAGTGGCATAAGAGAGCCTGAGGCAGGAAGATTGCTGCCAAGTTCAACACCTCCCCAAACTGCATAGCAAGACCCTGTCTCAAAAAAACAAAGTTATGTCTTTTAATGTATCCTCACTGCAACTCCTAGCCAGTCAGGAAATGGAACAAAGAAGAAGAAAAAAAAAAAATGCCCCAAAGCTCAGCAGTCCAAATCCAGAGCATCAAGGTAGCCTGTCTTTGAAGAACTATGTTTATAAACAGGTCCCTATGTGTGGGAAGACTTGTTAGATGTGAACCCTGAACCAGCCTTGAAGTAGCCTCTTTTGGAACACTGAAAAACTTACCACAGGTATGACTGGGTTGGCAAGGCTGGCCAAGCAGTCAAGAGGTGCACGGTCGGCCACAGCCTTGGCAGTCAAGCAACAGACACCAGCAAAGGGTCAGGCTACTGTTCCCTGGTTCATCTTCTACCCAAACCACCTCCCTCCCTTTCACACTGACTCCATAACAAACCCTCCAGCCAGTAATGTCTGCTGTCTTTTCTATTTGGAAGCAGAGAAAGGAGTTAGGAGGAATTATCAAGTTGTAAGGATGGAGAAACATCTCAAACCCCGTGTCTTAAGGACTGTATCCACAGTGATTCCGACACTTTACCACTCTCCACATGCTTCACTGGTCTAAGGGACACACTGCCAGCCCCGGAAGCCACACCTCTTCCCAAGGCCTGCAAATGAAAACGGAACATCGAGCTGCCTGGGCAAAGTGGCTTTATTAGAGAAAGCCGGGGTTACACAGCTATGATTTATGAGTTGGCATTGGGGCCCTTCTTCTTGCCAAAGGTGGGCACGACGTTGACGAAACGCCGGTTGTACTGCATCCGCCGCTTGGCCCGGCCTGTCTTCTTCTTTTTCTTTTCTTGTTTGGCCACCTGGGAAAAGGCAGAAGGCAGCGCCGATCAGACTTCGGCTGACCTCTCCCATGCCTGGCAAGCCTTTCCTTAACCTTCCCTCCACCCAGTGAGCAGGTAGGCTGGAACCAAAGGTCTTGGCTTGACTGTGCCAGCAAAGAACAAGGTCCAAACACCACTGCTAATTCTCACTCACCTTGGGAGTCTGACCTCTCACTTTTCCAGCCCGAGCTAGGGAACCATGGACTTTACCTGTAAGGGGAAAGTAAATAGCAGCAGGTAAGAAACAAGAAGCATCTCCCAGTATGATCTCCCCTCTCCACCTAAAACTTTTTTATTTTTTAGGTACCGGGAACTGAACTCAGGGCCTTGCCCTTGCCAGGCAGGAGCTTGTGCTGAGCGATATCCCCTGCCCATAAAACTTTTAAAATACAAAAATAAAAAAACTCCTCCAGTCCAGAGAATGAATGCCACAAGGCACTCTACCAGCCAGCAACACCCCAGGCTCTTTTTATTTTGAGACGAAGTTTCCCTAAGTTGCCAGGCTGCCCTCAAATTTGCATTCTCCTGCCCCAGCCTCCCTGGTAGCTGGAATTACAGGAGTTTGCCACCATGTCCAGCTTCAGCTTAATTTCTAAGGTATGAAGGGCCCAATAACAAATGAAACAAAGATGCAGAAATTTTTTTTTTTTTTGGTACCAGGAACAGAATGGAGGACCTTGTGCTTGCCAGGCAAGTGCTTGTACCACTGAGCTATATCCCTGGCCAGATGCAGAAATTTAACCTAATTTCCCAGTTCCTGATTTTTTTTTAAACCAGGGACTTAACCCAGGGCCTTTCTACTGAGCCACATCCCCAGTTTTTAAAATTTTTGAGACAGTGTCTCAATCGTTAAATTGCCTGGGTTGGGCTCAACCTGTATGACTTTCCTGACTCAGCCTTGTAGGCTGATGGGATTATAGGCATGTGCCCCTACACCCCTTGTTTTTAACAAAACTGAAAAGCGCCTTGGGGATCTGGATCTGGTATGACCTGGATTTATTGGGGAAACTAGAAGCACCTGGTAAGAGACTGAAAGAAAAAAACAGACAATTGTGCTCAGTCCGCATGAACTCTCCAAAGTTCCTTCTGAGAGGGGTAAGCAGGAACAATCACCTTGGATTGAGGGCCCCCTTAAGGCACTAAGTGTATTATCTCAGAAATAAGTGAGCTGGGTTGGGTATGGGGGTCACACGTGTAAATTCCAGCATTTGGGTAGCTGAGGCAGGAGAATCACTGCCAGATTGAAACCAGCCTGTACTACATAGCCAGACTGTCTCGAAAAAGCAAAATTAAAAAAAAAAAAAAAAGAAAGAAAGAGCTGAGCTGCCACAGCTGTGTACCCCAACATGTTTAAAAAACACTCTTAGCCGGCCGTGGTGGCGCACACCTGTAATCCCAGCACTCGGGAGGCAGAGGCAGGAGAATCTTTGCAAGTTCGAGACCAGCCTGGGCTACAAAAGTGAGCTCAAGGCCAGCCTGAACTGCACAGCGACACCCTGTTTCAAAAAGACAAAACAAAACAAAACAAAACAAAACAAAACAAAACAAACCACTCTTCCTCCACTCACCTCCAAGCATGCGGCCTGCTACTTCCAGAGTGGCCAAGGCTTCCACCCCACACTGGCCTAGGGTGGCTTCATCCTCCAGCGGTTTGCCTGCCAGGAGCACGACTTGATCTTCCGGTGCGATGCCCTCCAGTGCCGCCACATGAGCCTACAGAGGGGGGAAAGTCTTGTGGGCGTCCCTGTGGCGCCCAAGTGGGTAACCCCAGAGGACGGAGTACGGGAGCCGCCACGCCGCCTCACCTTGATGTGGGCGACCGTCTCCTGGCCGGTCACTTCGAGGGTATGTAGGTCCTGGGCGCGGACAAAGAGCTGCATGTTGACGACTAGGAAAAGAAAGCCGGCTTTCAGAAAAGGACCAAAACGCTGAGAAAGGGGGCCTGGGAATGGGAGAAGCGGTCCACGGAAGATCCCGGGACGCAGCCAGCCGCGGTGTCTCACGTGGGGAAGGCAGGGCTTGCTGGGGAATTCGGCTGGGGACAGGAGCCAGGGCCACAGGGCAGCTCCTGTGCCTGGATCTTCTGCAGTCTCTGACCAGGCGGCAGGAATGCTACTAAGCCCTCCAAATCCAGCCGTCGTACAAATCTTACCTGAACAGCTGAGCCAGCTACCTCTACCGCGAAGATGGAGTCCAGAAAGAGGAAGAAGCGGGAGCGCGCACGTCCTCACCGCCTACTGCGCCATACGTCACTACTGAGCGACCGCACATTCTTTTATTTGTACCGCCCACACCGCCCTAGCCCCGCCTCGCTGCACATTTCGCGCAGGCGTCCTTCGGTTTGGGGCAGCGCGCGCTGGATGGGCGGGACCGAGCCGGTTGCGCGCGCAGAATACTAGCGTCGCGGGGGAGGTAGCAGTTCAAGATGGCAGCGGTCGTGTTCCGTACTTCTCTCCGGTGCTGGAGAACTGGCATCGGTTGGGGTTGCGGGTTGCGGCAGCTGGTGAGAGTCCTGAGCTTGGAGCTGGGGGTGGGGCAGAGCGGGATGGCAAGGCCGTTGTTAGTCACTGTAACCCTGGAACCTGTATTTATACATAGGGTCTTAGTTTTCCTAATCAGTGGCCCTTGCCTGAAGGGTAGCTAGAAGGTTGAGTGGGAAGGAAGGCGGCAGGCTCCGGAGCGCGCTTGGGTGGAGGGTGAGGGGGTGAGGGGCGGAGTGAAGGTTGGAATGTAGCTGCAGGAAAGCCCAGGTTAGTCAGTACTGACAGGAGCTGCACATCGACTTTCGCTGCCTGGATCCCATCGTATCAGTTTAGTGGGGAAATTATGATTTGTTAAAATTTGTGGTTGGAGCCCTACGGAAATTCTGAGACACCCTACTGTTCAGAGTGATTGAACGTCTTTCCCAGTGCCACCGGCACGCTGCACGCTGGAAAACACGTCTTTTATTTATGTTGTTTTCTCTCCCTTAAGTGTTTCCTTTTTCTGCTAAGTTTCTCTTACGTGGAATGAGTCAGTGGAGCGGTGGTTGATTTATTTGTTTTGCCTCAGAGCCAAACGCAGGGGCCTCCTGATTACCGTGGCTTTGTGGAGTCAGCGGATGAATTCCAGTTCGTGGAACGCCTGTTACCTCCCACCAGCATCCCAAAGCCACCAAAGCATGAACATTATCCCACTCCTAGTGGCTGGCAGCCTCCCAGAGGTGAGCTGGGAGTGGGGATGGTTGAAAGGCATTCCCCTCCCCAGTGGTCAGCCTGCCCAGTGGGTTCAGACTCATGATGAGATCCCAGCCGGGCGTGGTGGCACATGGCCTGTAATCCCAGCACTCGGGAGGCTGAGGCAGGAGGATCTTTGTGAGTTCGAGACCAGCCTGGGCTACCAAGTGAGCTCAAGGCCAGCCTCAACTGCATAGGGAGACCCTGTCTCAAAAAGACAAAAAAAAAAAAAAAAAAAAAAAGAGATCCCTTAAGGTTAGAATTGTCTCAAGCCCAAGGAAGGGTCCAGGTGTGGAGCCCTCAATTTCACTGGTACCTGTCCAACTGTAGTGCTGGGTGGGGGCTCATAGGGCAAAAAAAAAGAAGCATAAAGAGAAGACCCCAGTGCATGGTCCCTCTCTCACCGGACTGTGCCGTAATTGAGAACACGGCTTGGGAGTCATGTAATATGGAGTTTGAATTTGGTTCTGTTGTTCATTCCTTTTGTGATCTTGAGTTAGTCACTTAGCTTCTTCCAGCCTCAGTTTCAGTAAAGTGGAAATAAAACACTTAGTACTGAGCCCAGTGTATGGTAGGTGTTCAGTGTTTGTAAACTCCTATCACTTTGTTCCAGAAATTGACCTCATCTAACCTAGCCCAGTGGAAAAGGGCAGCAGTTGGCTTTAGAGGGGACCCAGAGATCCAGGAAGGTGTGGCCCTGACTTCTTTAGTGCCTGATATTTGGTACCAGGCCCTATGTAGGATACCAGGTTGAACAATTTGGTCTTGATTCTATAGACTGAAGGAGAGATGAGATGCCCTGGCCTGAAATCTGGAGGTGCCTTGGTCCAACTGGATGCAACAACCCTCTGCAGGTTTTGTGAAGGGAAGGGCCTTGGTTGAGGTAGGATGACGCCTAGGAGTTGACTTGTCACTATTTCCCCGTCACAGATCCCCCACCCGACCTGCCCTACATTGTGCGGCGTTCCCGAATGCATAACATCCCTGTCTACAAAGACATTACACATGGCAACCGCCAAATGACTGTGATCCGGAAAGTGGAGGGAGACATCTGGGTAAGTGTGCGTGGGAGGGGGAGCAGGGTCCTCCAAAAAGACCAACAGGCCTGATCTGTCATCTTTCCCCAGGCCCTGCAGAAGGATGTGGAAGATTTTTTGAGCCCGCTGCTGGGGAAGACACCTGTCACCCAGGTTAATGAGGTGACAGGTACCTTGCGGGTCAAGGGCTACTTTGATGAGCAACTCAAAGCCTGGCTCCTCGAGAAGGGCTTCTGAGGTCTACCGAGCAGCCTGCATGGACAGACTGGAGTCCAGGGAACCTTGGGAGGAAGAAAGTGGGTATTAGAGCTCCTGGGAAGGATACAAGGACCAGGGTTGACGGTTTGGGCACGGCAGAAAGTAAGGGCTAAAGGGTTTTGGAGTCAGATCTTGCTTGTATAAAGGGGAAATGGGCTCTGATACGTGGGTCCACTGGGAAGAGCTGCCCAGCATGGGAAACCCACCAGGAATAGCCAAGGTAGTAGGGGCAATTAATTGCTGTCCTTCCTGTCACTGTGGCCTGCTTTTGGGGGGCTCCTTGGGTTTAACTGTTCAGATTAAGGGGATATCAGATATTTAGGGGATAGCCCAGAGCTGGGTGTGGTGGTGCACACCTGTAATCCCAGCACTTGGGAGGCTGAGGCAGGAGGATCATTGGCGAGTTCAAGACCAGCCTGGGCTACAAAGTGAGCTCAAGGCCAGCCTGAACTGCATAGCGAGACCCTGTCTCAAAAAAAGAGGGGAAAAAAAAAAAGTAATAGCCCGCCTGGTTAGGGCAGGTTCATTCCTGCTCACTGCTGGGAATGCGCCTGAGACCTTGCTCTAGGCCAGACCTGGCTTGGGAGAGATTGTAAAACACAGATGACTCAGGGATGGGTCTAAGTGCTGAGTGTACTGCTGGGCACTGGGACACAGAGTGCCACGGTAACAGCCTCATGGAGAGGGAAGTGGTCTCTTGCGGATGCCTGTGCCATTCCAAGGCAGACTGGAGCCTTCTTGCTTGGGTCTCTAGCTCCAGGAGTTAGGTGATTAGCTCTGGCTGGCCTGGCCACAAGGGGGTGCCTGGGCAGGGCCTTCAAAGCCATTGGGCAGGGCCTTCCCAACTTGCAGGCCTGGAGTAGAGGCCAGCCAGGGGTCTGCAGGCAGGAAGAGGCTGGCCTTTCACTGCTGCCATCCAGCCCGAGTAGCCTTCACACTTGCTCACCCCTGGAGTCACAAGAGCCAAAGGCCTCACCCTACTCAAAACTGGCTAAGACAGTGTTCAGGTGCTGGCTGCCCCATGTGATCTGACACAGGGTACTAAGCCTCTCTGAGGCTGCCTCTCAATATGTAAAATTGGTATGTCTTCCTGGCTGCTTAACAGTCAGTTTCCTCACTCCTGGAGATTCCAGGCCATTCTCAAACCCACAACCTCTGCCAGGAAGAGGAGCTGGACCTCGATCCGACGCAAGCCCACCAATTGTTAATGCAAGTTTTTATTTGGCTGTATATACAATTTAAGCTATTAAAATTTGTACAATATTTACAAATTAAATAATCATCTGAAACGGTCTCCAGCAACTCTTGTAACACAAAACAGAGGGGAAAAAGGACAGGGGCGGGGCGGGGAGGCCTCCGCTCCCATGTTCCCTTCCTGTCCCAGAGCCTGTTCTAAACTAGAAAAACTAGGAGCCAGTGCTCCTGCTGCTCCTTTCTGGGGTCAAACATTCAATTTCAAAAGACTGGTTTAAGCCAAAAGGCCCCAGGTGAGGAAGTAGTTCCAATCCTGACTCTAGACAAGTCCTGTGGGATCAACAATGGCCTTCTTGGATTCTGGGTTGCAGTGGTTGAGGAGCAGCGCGCCAGCCCTCAGCCCTGGTGTGGCTGGGCAGTGGCTGCTGGGTGAGACGTCTCAGCCTCACCTGAGAAACTATGGGGAAGGGGCCTGGGGGAGGGGCAGGGCAGGGTCCCTCAGTGCTGCCCGCCTGCCCCCCACCCCCAGGCACTCCTTTCCCTGAGTTGTATGGTTGCCAATAAGATGTGGAAATGCCAGAGGGCATGGGGGCACAGCCACCACCACAGGGGGCTTTTGGGAAGATTGGGGTAAGAAAAGGAAATTGGTACCAGTCTTGGTGGGAGGGCCACAGCAAGTTCCTGGCCTGCCCCAGCCCTTCCAGGATCCACACGTGGGAACGGGAGCTAATACTGTTCGGCACTGCAGCGTGACCCCGCACACACAAGTAGGGCTCAGAGGGGCTGCCCTTCTCCCAGGAAAGAAGGGGTAGGGAGAGGGTTTCAGAGGCCAAACTTTCTGTCTTCACAGCGCTGGCTGGCCGGCCCGGCCACAGCACAGCGGTATGGTGGAGAGGCCGGCCGGCTGGAACTGACTGGTACCCCCGGGGCTGCTGAGCCAACTGAAACAGCCTTCTTTCCACCTGGCCTCAGCAATGCTGCCGCCTCTTTCTCAGAGCTGGGGTTACGACTCCCTGGTGCAGACAGAGGGAGCTGGCACTTGGTGGCAGGATGAGTTCCAGCAAGGGCTGCTCAGGAGAGTGGGGACAGGGCTCGGGCAGTGTCAGTGGCCAACAGGGGACTCGAGCTTTTGCAGGCGGCGCCTGCGGAGCTCTGCAGCATCAGGCTCTCCATCTTCAGGTAGCTCCTCAGCGCCCACTGACTCAGGAGCTGGGGACAGAGAAGTCAGAAGTGGAACCCTGGGAAACCCTGGCGACACCCCCACCCCCACCCCCAGCCTGATCACACCCACCTAGAGGCTTTTCAGTTTCCTGGGCTGGTGGGGAGGCTCCTGGGGATGGGGCATTGGTGGTCTCAGAGCTGGGGGTGCTGGTAGAGGAGGCAGCAGCAACAGCTGTGGAGCCAGTGTCTTCTGTGGGGCCACCTGAAGTGGCAGGACGAGGGGGCCTGGCAAGAGAAGGGACAAAATCCAGTCTGTCCCTGGCATCCTAGGAGATGTACCCCATATGGCCACAGTCACTAATAGGCAAAAACACAAGTGGATAGGGCGACACCTCAAGGGCCCAGTGGTTTTGTCCCATGAACTATCTCACTTGCAGGCAGGGACTGCTGACCCTTCTGCCACCATCCTGCAGTCCCCACTGCGGGTGTCAGCCTTACAGGGCATCCAGAGTAAGGCACAGAGGGCTCAGGCCTTGGACGCCAGTGTCCCTCCACACTGAACAGGAGCCAGGCACTTCATAAATGTCACGTGGGAGTAGGATTTAGAATTACTTTATTCCCACAAGGCAAAGGAAGTCCCCAAGCAAGTAGCAGTGGGGCTGGCACTTAAACTGTCACCTGCCCACCTGACTGGCAGTTCTTAGTGTCAAGAGGTGTTTGGCGATGAGCTGAGGCAATGGAAACTAAGAAGAGCTTGAGTTTACTCTTCTTTGGTGATGCTTGGAATTGAAACCAAGGCTTATTTCTTTTTTGAGACAGGGTCTTGCCATGTGGCCCAGGCTGGCCTTGAACTTACAGCGATCCTCCTGTCTCAGCCTCCCAAGTGCTGGGATTACAAGCATGTGCCACCATGACTGACTAAAACCGGGGCTTTCATGTATGCCTTTAACTCTGCCACGCACCTTGTAATTTTGAGTTCCAAAAAACAAAAGAATAAGATTGAAGATAAGCTAATAAACACTTCCATTAACATCAGATACACTTGCTGGAGAGGAAGAATAAAGGCATTGGGAATAATCAAGAGCTCCCTGAAACTGGATGTCCCTGCAGATAGGTGCCCTAAGTGTAAGCAGATGTCAGAGTGGTACAGGGGAGATGAATGCCAAGAACAACTGTGGGAGCCCTCCTGGCAGCTCCACCCACTCTACCCCACGCAGACGCACCCCAAAGAGGCTAGCACAGTGAGGTACTGGTTGATCTGCAGCATGGCGGCGTCCAGCAGCGTGTGGATGTTGCGCAGGCTCTGCAGTCGGGCCTCTATGTGCTGCTGCTCATGCCCTTCCAGAGCCCGAAGCTCCTCTGGGGTCAGCCCAGCAAAGCCCGCAGGGGGCACAGGCATAGGGGGGAAGGCTGGGGGATGGGGAGGGGTTAGTCTGGGCTGCCTAAGCCAGCCGCACACCCTCCCCGCCCTCTAGAACATTCCAGCGTGGCCCAGCTTACCGAACAGTGGAGGCAGGGGCATGCCCATCCAGGGAGGAGGGAAGGGGAAGCCTGGGGCAGGGTTGGCCTCTGGGGCAGGGGCAGAGCCAGGCACTGGGGCAGAGGCACTGGTGCCAGCAGCTGTAGTTGTGGCTGTTCCACTTGGCCGAGAAAGGGCCGCTAAAGAGCAGAACACCAGGTCAGAGTGGTGCAGAGCCATCCTAGTCCTCCCCGGCCACCACCCTCTGCCACATTACCCAAAAGCTTACCTGCACTGGTGGACGGGGGCGCCGCAGCCTCTCCTGAGCTTGGGGGAGGTGGGACAGGTGGGAAGGGGCCCACAGGGGGCCACAGGGGGAACATGCCTGGAGGAAAAGGAGGCAGGAGGCCCTGGGGGACTGGAGAGAGGACAGGCATAAGAGGAGAGCTCAGCTGCCGGAAGCTCCACCCTGCTCACAGCAATCAGCAGTTTCTCATCTTTTCACCCTCCTTGGCCTTGACTGAGCTGTGACTTGGGCCCTCCAGGATCTCCCACACCCAGCCCAGGCAAGTACCCCCAATGTGGTGGAAAGCCAACAAGAGGGACACTCACAGTTAGGGGGCTGGGGCATGAGTGGTGGGGGATGAGGGGCAGGGGGTGGCCCCTGGTCTGCGGGCTCAGGGGGCGGTGGTGACTGGGCTGGCAGTGATGCCCGAAGAACATCCATACGGCAGGTGGGGCAGGTCTGCTGCCTCTGGAACCAGGAGCGCAGGCAGCTGGGGGACAAGGCCAGACAGTGGTCAGCAACCTCTCCAGGGCCTTGTACGTTGGTGTGCAGACTCCCAGGGCCCCAGCTACCTGGTATGGAAGATGTGGTTGCAGGGTAGTCTCTTGGCACCAGTCACCATCTCTTCTCGGCAGATGATGCAGACATTGTCCATGGCCTGGAGTTCCTCAGGGGTTGCATCTGGATACCTGTAGCATGGCAGAGCATGTGTCAGGACCACAGCTGGAAGCAAGGGGACCTAGGACAGAATTTGCGACAACAGCCCTGACAAGGCCACTTACAGTGTGTTCATGTTGCGGATGGCTCTTCGTGACATGATGGCATCTGTCACAGCTTTCTTGAACTGCCTATAAGAACAGTCAGTGAATGCAGGAAAAGGAGTGGAGGGACCAGGGAGAGAGAGGGAAAGGACGGGGCTGGGCTCACCTCATGGCCAGGTACATGGGCCGGATGGCAAAGAGTGGGAAGGTGTGCACCTTGATCATGATGGTCATGAAGGCCATGTACAGCAGAACCTTGATGAAGCCTTGGGGCAACAGATGCAGAGAGCAGGTTATGGGGTCTGGCAGCCAGAGGGGGAGGCTGGTCTGGTCAGACCAGGCCCAGGCTCCTCTCACCTGTGAACAGCTCCGTGTAGAGCATGTACACAGCCTTATTGTCCCAGGGGTTCTCGCTCTGGAGGTCCACGGAGTGCAGCACATACTTGATGAAGATGGTGAGCACCATGGTCATCAGAATAGCGTACTGGGGGGAGAGGGTACCATGGGGACGTGAACATCCACTCCCTCCAGCCACTGCTGCTCCCTGGCCTCAGCGCAGGCTCTGCACATTGCTGGGGGTGTCCAGCTCCTCCCTCAGTGATTAGGGCTTTAGCCAAAGCACTCTACCTCAGTTTGCTCATTGGTAAAATGCAGGGTTAACTTCATTTATGGCAATGTTGTCCTGCTGACTGAGCTCAGCACAAGTCTGGCAAGTGGTGAGCGAGCACCCAGCAGTGTGAGCTACTGTCACTCAGCACTCCCTCTGCCTGGGACACACCTCACCCATGGTCCATCCAGCTGATTCTCTCTTCTCTGTGTCTGTCCATCCATCCATCACCAGCTCTGGCATTAGCCTCTGGGAAGCCCTCCCTGAGCACCAGGTGGGGGCTGCTCCCCACCAGCCTCTTTGAGCCAGCTAGCTAGCAATCCCCTCGGGAGTGTGTGCAGGGGCCAGGCCTGACTGACTGCTGCTCCTTGGTAGCCAGCATGAGATGGCCACAGAGCAGGTGCTATTAAGGGTTATTTAAGGCACATGCAGTGCCACCTCAGGCTTATCCTCTCAACCTCCCAAGCCAGCTTTACCTCAAAGCCAAACACCAGCTGCACAGAGGCCCCACGGGTCAGGATGCTGTGATAGGCATGGCTGACGAAGAGGAAGTCCAGGATACCCAAGAGGAACATAAGAGCTGTGGGGACCCCCGAGTGGGGGTAGATGGGGTTAGCCCAGTCTGACAGTCACTTTCTGTTCTAAAACAGCCCCACCCTCAAGCCCACAATGACCAGGGCCCCAGCCATCTACTCAGGTGGGCACACTCCACTGCCTTGGTCCTCTGGGAACCCCAGTTAGGGGTGGAGGTGAGGTGGCCCAGGCTCCAGGTGAGAAGGCAGAGAGCTGAGGGCCCAGGCAGTTGAGAAGCTCTGGAGTGGAACAGGGCAGACAATGCAAATTAGCTTCCTAAATTATCTTTCCTGTACAGCTGTGCTCTGGGGTGCGGGTCCATGGTTAGTGACTTTTCACGTCCCAGGCCTCCATGGCGCCTCTCCTCCCTCCAGCAATCCCCTCCCCGCCACGAGTCTCACTCACAGACGATGCGGCAGTGAAAGAGCCAGGAGATATTGGGGCTGCGTTCCATCTAAGGCAGAGCAGAGAGGGGCCCCATCAGGAAAGCTGGGTCACCCCACGTCCCCAGGCCAGACCTCACTGCTCCACAAGGCTGCCCACCAGCCGCTCGCGACTCACAAAGTCCACACGGTCCTCAGCCAGCCAGTGGAAACACTTGAGGAAGAGGAGGAGAGTGAAGAGCGCAACGAAGCGGGGGCTGAAGTCGTCCCGAAAAACAGTGAAGGCCAGACAGGTCTCGGTGACAGCATACCAGGAACGCTCCAGAAGGTGCTGGAGGTTGAGCAACGGAGGACGTGGGACCAAGACATTCTGCTCGCCCGGTGCCCTGTCCCTCACCTTGGGAGTCTCCAACTTACCTCCATCTCTGCTGCCCTCAGCTGCCCAAAGAACACCTTGCCCATCACCTTGCCCAAGAGGAAGACCAGGACGAAGGCCTGGATGTACAGGACCTGCGAGTGAGGAGAAGCTCTAGTTGGAGGTCACCTTCTTCTTTCCTCGGCCTGGCCCTTATCACGCAGGCACCTCCCCAAGTCCTCATCAGAGGTTATTCGAAGTTAAGCAGCCAGCGGCTACTTCAGGCCCACTTACCTGCCCTGTAGCCCAGCCCCTGCCCAGGCAGTCTCCTCCTTCCCTCCCAAGCTCCTCCCTCCGAGGCCTGAACTCACTGCCATGCTGGGGCTGGACTTGGTCAGGTACACCACAGTGGGGTAGAACTGGTGCTTGAGGTAGTAGGCGTGAGCCACCACGGCCCCGGTCAGCGCCAGGCTGGCCGCCATCATCACTGCGGTGCGGAACATTGCCCTGGCCTGGCGACCTAGGCGAGGTGGGGAGGAAGACACCATATGGGATGGCCATTCCGTGCAGAGCTAGCACCGTGCCTGGCACAGCGTCAGTGGCAGAAAGGGAAAAAAAACCTCACTTCACAATCATCAGGTCGAGAACTGCATGTTTCCCCCTTTCACAAAAAGAAACGGCCCCAAAGAGGTTAAGTGGTCACCCTGATGCAAGACCTAGCAAGGCCTGGAACCTGGGTCAGGCCTGTTGCGAATCTAGGGCTCTTTCCACACTGCCTGCCAAGCGGTCTCCTCTAGGGAGGCCACGAGGAAAAGCAGCAGTGCTGGAGGCGGCGGGGGACCGCCTGCCACCGCTGACCCTGGACGGAAGGTGCTGGGCTGGGAGGCAAAACAAAACCGGCCCCGGGGGCGGGAACCAACGGCCAGGGCGGACAGAGGCCCGAGGGGCGCAGCGCCGAGTGACAGCTGTGGCGGGATGGGCAGCGCCGACGGGCGCTCGGCGGCGGGCAGAGAACATCAGCCTGGAACCCCCGCGTCCCCAACCTACGGGAAGTGTCAACTTGGGGCTCCAGAGGAACGGCCGGCCAGCGGGGCGCAGTCGCGGCGGGACGGAGAGGGGCCCCGGTCGCCCTCGCGGCCGCGCACCTGTGAGCGCCAGGAGTCGGGAGCGTCGCAGGCGGGGCCCAGCCTCTGGGACAGTGGCGGGGCCGGCGCCTGAGGTCTCCCGCCGGCTAGACAGACCGAAAGCGGGCGGCGGGACCGAGGTGCGCTATCCCGCTGACTACAAGGGCCCCAATCTCATCCCTGGCCTCGCCTGGCCTGACTCACCAGGAGCCCAACGCCGCGAGCCGGCTCACTCCCCGCGACTGCGGCAGCGGCTCCGGTTAACAACACTCCCCACCCCCTGCGAACCGGAAGTCCGAGGGTAAGACACCTCACTTCCGGCGGCGCGGGGCGAGGCGTGGACCGTACCAAGCACGTCCTGCCTTCTTTCGCACCGCCCGCCCTGCCTCGTGCCAGGAACAGAAGTTTTACTGCGGGTTCTGGCGTTCGTGTCCTCGGTGGACAGAGCAAGAAATGCAAACGGTGGTCGGAAAGGAATAGGGCGACGACGGAGGGGTGGGAACCCCTCCTTATTAGTCTCAGATGGTATGGTCTCTACCTCAGCGTGGACTCAACCAGCCCGGACTCAGGCTCTCAAAGCCGCTGGAAGGGAGGACGTCCTGTGGTCTGTGCCACTTGGAGAGGATAGCGTGCAAGGGACAGGCTTTACAGTAAGCCAAAGTAATATAAAGTGTTTTAGCGCTTCTTTCCGGAGGCAGTCACGACAGTTTGACACAGAAGGGGGCACTCTGGCACAACCGGAGGCAGGAAACAGAAATGTGTCTCCCCCATCACGCCCCCCAAGTTGTGTGGGAGTGAGTTGAATCCCGTGGCTGCCACTGATTGGCTGCGATAAAGTTACGCGGACCAATTAAAGAAAGAAAGGAAATGTATTGGCCTACAGAAAGAGGAAAGCAGGTGAGTGGTTGCCGGGGCGGTAGGTACCGTTGCCTCGCTGGCTGAGAGGAAAGCGGAGTTAGTAGGCAGGAGATCTCTGTCCGATGTCTCTGTTGTAGGGGAGCGTTTGCTGTGCACCGAAAGGGAGGAGCAGTCAGGTGTGCTGGTGGCTGCGGTGAAGGCTGAGCTTTGATTCTGCCAGTCTCGTGTTTTGTGCGGAGACTGACTCAACGCCGCATACGCTCACCCGGCTCTGTATTCTGCGGTTTCGCTGGCCTTGCCTTGTTCTGTCCTGGCTCACGACCACGGCCCCACTGGTCCTGGGCTGCCTGTTTCATCCTTTGTCGCCTCCAGTTCAGCTGTCTCGTTAACTGAGTGGAGCTAATTCACCTCCGTTTGTGCCTTGAGTTTTCCTTCGTCATCGTATTTAACCATCGCTCATCAAAGTTTTGTCAGCTAGGTGGTGCTATCCCCATTTTAAACGTAGGAAAATGATCCCCATACTGTTGGCCTCAGACATCACACCCTCCATCTGTTGACCTTACAGGTTCAGCTTGTAACTAGTTAATGAGTTGGTTCCCAGATTAGGCTGTCTCAGCTAAACTGCTCATTTCCCCATGCTGGGCTCAAATTTGAGACCCTCTTGCCTCAGCCTCTCAGAGTGCTGTGATTACAAGCGTGTGCCACCATTTTAGTGTATAGTTTACAATGATGACTGTCAGCTGGCTATGGTGATGCATAACTAACTGTAATGAGGCTGAGGTAGGACGATTAGAAATTTGGTGTTGGCCTGAGCAATTAATTCAGCAAGACCCTGACTCAAAAAAATAATAAAATAGACCGGGTGTGGTGGTGCACGCCTGTAATCCCAGCACTCAGGAGGCTGAAGGCAGGAGGATCGTTGCGAGTTCGACACCAGCCTGGGCTACAAAGTGAGCTCAAGGCCAGCCTGAACTGCATAGTGAGACCCTGTCTCAAAAAAAACAAAAATAAATACTAATAAAATAAAAAGAGTTGGGGGTGTAGCTCAGTGAGAGTGCTTAGCAAGGCCTAGCAAGTGTGAGCCCTTGTTCTATCCTGTCAGCCTGGTGGAGAGGGGGGGCAGTTCTCGGGTGAGGTCCCAAGGTTAAAGAATGCATGCGTGCAAGACATCAGCAGGCAGCATGGAGCAGAGCAGAAGAGCCCAAGAGTCACCTGTGTCTTTATTGTATACTTTTTTTATTGTATAATTCTTATACAGGTTGTTATCTCATATTTACATTCTTACATAATGCTGTAACCAGCATCATGTGTGTTTACCTGTGCTAAGTCATGGTTACACAGTTGTATCCACTGTGGGCTTGTGCTAGACAATCGGGGTCACATCCTCAGATTAGATGCCCCTGAGCTCTGAAGCAGTCTGAGTGGTTCTCCATACATCCTCAGTATCAAAAGTGACTACTGGTAGCCTGAACCTGAGTGCTGGACAGCGTGAGCTTTGCCACTAGCTCCACCGCTCAATCCAGCTGCTGAACAGCACGGTCAGGGTGGGGGCTGAGATTGCTACCTACCATCGCCTGCTGGAATATGGGGAGGACTTCAGCCCAGATGGTGCCCTGGACAGCAGCTACTTCTTGCAACCATTCAGAGGACACCACCTGCAGGATGGTGGGCAGCAAAGGACCCGGAACCAACGACACTGAATGCTGAGGCAGCGGGAACAGGGGTCCCTGGGGACAAGGGGCAAATAAAAATTCAGAGGTTAAAACAAATGGTGATTAGCCGGGTGTGGTGGTGCATGCCTGTAATCCCAGTACTTGGGAGGCTGAGGCAGGAGGAGGGTTTTGAGTTCGAGGCTATCCTGGGCTATAAAGTGAATTGAAAAAAGACCCAAAAAAAGGTGTTTATCAGTCTGTGTGAACTGTATCAGTAAAGTAGGCAAGGAAATAAAGGCAAGAGTAGAAATTAATAAAACAGATGAAGTGAAAACAGAATCACAAAGTTAAAAGCTGGTTCTTTGAATAAGCTAGTAAGACAAATTTTGGCAAGACAGACCAAGAAGATAAAGTTAAGGTGCAAAGAGTACGAAGAACAAAAAAAGAAAATAAATAGACACAGAGGAGATTATTAAAAGTCAGGCTGAACTTGTTTGGTTGGTTTGGTGTGGTTTCAGATTGCTGGGTTGCTAGGCTGGCCTGGAACGCCTAGGCTCAGGCAGTCCTCCTGCCTCAGCCTCCCAACTAGCTGGGACTACAGATGTGTCCCACCTCATTTGGGTCGCTCACTAGATGTACTTTTATGGCAATACATTTGAAAACTTAGGTGAAATGAACAGTTCCTTAGAAAATAAAAGATGTGTGAAAATTGACCCAAGATGCAATAGAAAACATTAATAGATCAGTGAATATTGTAAAGATGAATCAGTTCAGCCAGGGTGATGGCACACACCTGTAATCCCAGCACTTGGGAGGCTGAGGCAGGAGGATCGCTGAGATCAAGGCCAGCCTGAACTGCATGTGAGACCCTGGCTCAACAAACACAAAAAAACATAAAAGATTCAGTTAATTAACTATATTCCTCTTCCTCACAGAGAAACAACACAAGATTTTATCAAGTCCAGGAGGCTAACAAGCTCAGTATTTGTGGGGGGCTAGACACAGGGTCTCACTTCTCACTTTGTAGTTTAGGCTGGCCTTTAACTCACTATGTAGGCCAGGCTGGCCTCAAATTT